AATTTTTTAAATCTAGAGAAGATGTTTTAATTAAACAACATTTTGAGATATCGGCTGTTTTAGATAAGTATCGGATATCGAATATCATTAGTCCATCAGTTTACTTGGTAAAAAAATTTCTTTTGGATTTAAAAAGTTGCGTTCTGTCACCACTGTTTTATGTTCGAAATAAATTTCTTGTTATGGAAAATAAAATTATTTGTACTATCAGCGGCGTCTGTATTGAAGGCCTAATCTACAACTTATTTAATTGAAAATAAAATGGATAATTATAATATTGGACGGATTCGAATACCAAAGAAAAGACAAGACCACTGACGATGAGTACTTGGCAATACTCGTAACAGCGTTGTATTGTCAGCCAAATCTTAATAAATTAAATATAATTTTTGTCCTTGTATTTTCTTTGCTATTCGAATTCGTCTAATTTTTAAATAGTTTCCTTTCGTCATGAAGACGCGTCACTCTCGGCAAGAAAAAATTTATATTGATAATTGTTGTAATTTTCAAACTAAAAACTATACAAGAATAGGAAATAATTTGTTTCTTCTCATAAAATCATTCTTAATGAATGATTAAACTTGAAATAATTTTACGTCTTAAGTGTTTTCTCTAAAGATATTTGAAATACTTTCTAATTTGCACTTCAACAAATAGAAACCTTTTAATACTTTCGTTATAAGAACTTTCGTTCGTATACTATATGAGGACATATCATATATCAAAGTAAAGTAAACAAATAAGACATAAAAATTACACTTTCACTCTTCCAATTTCAGTAGCAATTTCTACTGAACTCCATTTACCCCCTTCAACACTTATTAACACAAAAAACAAGCGCGCGAGGATAATACACTAACACAAACAAACAAACGAACAAACAAACAAATTACAGAGACGTTCCAATGTGTTAGTATTATCAAGCTTCTACTTTAAGTTAAATCATCCCAGGCACTTTGTTCAAGGATCTTTGTCATGTTGTTTTAGCGCGGAAATGTACGATTTATCCTTTTTATTCTCACTAACAATATTACAATGTATGAAGCAGCAGACTCTTTACACTCTACGTTAAGATACATATTTTTTACTTTACAAATTTAAGCATTTACAGATGATAATTTACTTTTTCAAAATAAAATAAAATAAAATAAAGTAGAATAACTAACAAAAACAACAAAAACTACATGCATACATACGAATTACATAGAAAATGTATAAAAACGTTTCATTGTATTCAATGCCTGTTGGCATCCTGATGGCATACTGAGTGTGCTTGTGTGTGTGTTTGTGTGCTGTTTGTTAGTGAATTTGTTTTAGTGTTTGCATTTGTGTCTGTGTTAACAACACTTTACTAGATTTGTGACAATAAATTACAAATGCGTTCTCACAACGTTTTTTATGTATTCTGCTTTCATGCTTTTATGCTTTTTGCTTTATTTGTACTATTTTATAAGTGAAATTTATTTTATTTGTAGTAAATCCTTGAAAATTTGTTAATATGGGTAAAAATCTTGTTAAGGGATTTGAGAGCAGGATTTAGGTAACGGTTACACTGAATACAACAAAAGGAGATGTCGCATAAAAATGTAACAAAGCAAAATGTTGACCTTTAAAGTTAACTGTCAACATGCACAGTTTGTGGCATTGCATTTTGAAAATAAAAATCATTTATCCTTCGAAATTGTTGATTGTAAAATTAACTTTAACTTTAAACGATCATTACTATTGAATTTTTGAGAATTTATTTATTTTCAATAAAATTTTGAAAATTGTAGAAAATAATTAAGTGCGTTGCAGAGCGTAGTAAAATTAAAATTAGACGATCGAAATTAATTAATTTCTGAACAAAGCTTTTCAGAAGCTTTTTCTAAAAAGCTTTACTTTTGAAATGGAATTTTTGCTCAATATAACTTTTGAGATACGCTTTCTTCTAAGTAAGTTTTGAGCTCAATCGACCTAACAGAACCTCTCCCAAACATGGTAACCTTATCGATTTTTCCAATACCGCAAAAACTATAACCGGTAGTTCTTTATAATTAATAAAAAGGGTTAAGCGAAAGAAAATAACTGTCGCCTAACTGGTAGGAGAATCATTTTGCCATTCATTTTAAAAGCTAATAGACATCGGATAAGTACAGAAGTCTGAGTCTGGCGATTCACAACAAAGTCTGCAGCTGTCGTCTCTAGTAATACTTAGGTTCGTTAGATGCTTTTTAACTCCACAATGCCCACTTTGAAGCCCAGTGACAACTCGGATGCCACTTCCATTCAGTATAAGTAGTTCCCTACTTCTGGCTTTTGATCAATACGGCATGGATACTTTAGCTTGTCTGCAGACAATTGTATTATCCCTTACAGTCTGAACTGCCCTTTCCAGCCACTCGTTAATTTTAAATTTGAAAAATCTCCATGAAGGATTGTAGAATGGTTGAGGCTCAATATAATATAAGGCCGTCTCTATTCTGAGTAGTTTATATGCTTTATCGATTTTTCAAATCCGCTATGCCCTGGCATCCATATTAAGTGAACCCTGTGTTATACTGAGTGTTATATCTTCTCTTTTCTGATATCATATTAGCAGTACAATGACTGCATACTCATAAGTTTTTTAATATTTGCTGTCAAAAAAATAATCAAGCCCATTTTTGACGTCCCCATTTAGAGTAAAAGTGTGTATATTATAAAAACTTTGTGGGTATCCACTTTAGTGATTATTTTAACCTATGAAATCTGGTAATACAATATAAAGGAAAGTACACCACATCAAAATATAAAAACTTTGGAATCATCTTTTTAGAACATCTATCCTTTTTTATAAAGATATGCGCTGATTTTATCCTGCTCGCCAGTCATTTAAATTTAAATAAGGTACGTCCACAAGATAATAGTACACTTTCAAATGTCTTCTTGCTGCAGCTAATATATTCTTTATTTACAATAATATCCATATTAAAATGAAAAAGCTTAATTTTATTAAACTTTTAGTTTTAATTAAACAAAAAATTGTATAAATTTTTTTAGCACATAACACTAATGTTACATTCAACTTGTTAAGTTTGTAAGGACGTAGTAAGAAATATGTAAAAAGGGTTAAAAAAATTATTTTATTTCAACTTGTTGTTTTTGTAAGATATTCATTTAAACATCTGAATAAATTTTTTACTATACACTTTTACAAGTTACTAAATTTATTCAGTGTTAGAGCAAAATATCAAATAAATATGATTCTCTCTGATAAAAATATTGTCAATTGTCTATTTTATTTTTATTTAAAATTGCAACTTCTGCGCAAAAGGAAAACAAATGCAAAAAGGCTGAGATACTTACCTACTTTATATTCATATCGGGTTCTTAAGTGTATTTAATTAAAACTTAGTAAAGTAGGTTCAGTACTACATTTTATTAAGAGAAGCGAAGTCTATGAAGGATGCACAACAGATCTTTAAATGGAATTGCAAAGACCCTTAATTTATTATTGATACTAATTACATAAAAAAATATTCTACAAGTTGAGTAAGAGTAAGAAACTGATTTATTTAATATATTTCATTGGTTTATACACAATTTGTCATAATATTTTGTTTCGACGTATGTACCTAAATAAATACTAATTTACAATAAAATGATAACCGTAATGAAACATTTGTTGCAGTGTTTGTGCCTAAATATACACTAATTTATGACGAAATGATATCGATAACAAAACATTTGTTGTGGCGTGAAAGCCTGAATAAGCACTAAATATAATGAGATAAATAAATAAATAGCAAAATGATGTTATGTACATTTCAGATTGAACAACTTAATTACTCTAAGATAAGATAGTAGTTGCATGTTCATATTTAAATACTAATATACATTTACGATCCATTTGTTTCACTGCATCGCACTTATTAGTTTCACCTACCTTGCTGTAAACGATCACTCAATAGAGACTGTTCCAAGCTGCGTAAATGTTTTCTCATGTAGTTCATGCTCCCAAGCCAATATTTTATTCACATATTTGCGCATTATGGGGCATATTGTATTTCCCTTCCTCTCCTACCTACCCCCACGACTATGCATTTCAAACGAGATTAAATATTAAATCCTGGTATCATAACTTTAGTCCCTGTAAATCGCTTAATAAAAACTAGCCACCCTATTTCAAAAAAATATTTATACAAACAAAAACGATTTGAAAAGCAAACAATTTTTTATTTTGAACTGAAACTGAATGAATGAGCATTTATTGAGGTTAGTTTAGGTAAGTTTGATTTACACAAAAAATATTGTATAAACAAAGTTGAGGTAGATACAATCGCCACAGAGTAAAACAACAGCTGAGTTCGTGGAGCAATGTATAACTGATTAATAATTCATTAAGCAACGATGTGGTACCTTTAATTTGGTGCAGAAAGATGTTGGCCAGCAAACAAATAAATCAACTGATGTGTGCACTTGGTACGCTAACGACAGCGGTCGCCGTTGTTGGTCGCAGTCAAAGGTTGGCCAAGCACCACGCAAAGATAGGAACGAACCAACGTTAACTCATTTTAAAACTGTAAAAGGTATGAACTGCACGGTTGATTGGTTCGCAAGAGGGTTTCCAGAATGGAAACTTCAGCAATACAGCCGTAACTTCACTAGCATAAAATGTTAATGCGGGCAAAATGAAGAATTTTCATTTACCTTTTCATTCGTTTTTGTAAGCATAAATTTATGCACGCTGCTTACGGCTCAGCGTTGATGTTTGGGATGATTTGATTCAAGCAACTGGAAAATTGAATTTGAAAATGAGGTTAGCAAGGCAAAACGCACAGATTTACATAAAAAACGAATTGCACTGAACGAGTACTGTTGCCTCAAAGATACAAACAAATACTGACAGTGAGTTTGAGTTTTTGAATGAATGATTTGTGTGGAGTACACCTTGGCATGCATGGAAAACAATTTTAAAATCAATTGAATGAAAATCTCTCTATGGTATTATTATATTTCATTTTGTTTTCTTTTTTTAGGGTCATCCTGGTGTTCATGGACCAGCAGGTGCCAAAGGAGAGCCCGGACAACCTGGCGTACCAGGCATTGCAGGAGTACCTGGCGCATCTGGATTGAAGGGTGACCGTGGCTTACCTGGTGAAATGGGACCTTCTGGTCCAGCGGGTCCACCTGGACAAGTTATTTATGCTGACGCTCCTTTCGGTGGTAATGCTACACAATGTCAATGTCCGGCCGGACCAACTGGATCTCCTGGTCAACGTGGTCCGCAAGGTTATGAAGGACCACCTGGTTTGAACGGCGAGCCTGGTCCAGCTGGGCCGAGTGGTTTGACCGGCCTGCCTGGCACAAGAGGTGAAAAGGGCGAAAAAGGTATACGTGGCCTGAACGGTCCGAAAGGTGATCGCGGACCTGAAGGTCCACCTGGTCAAGCCTTTTTCGCTGGCGGTTATGAAGGCATGGCTATGAACGGAACTAAAGGTGATAAAGGTGAGAAAGGTATGCGCGGACGACGCGGCAAACCGGGCACACCTGGACCAATCGGACCGCCGGGCAAACCAGGACCAATGGGTGATGTTGGACATTCGGTAAGTTTAAAACAGTTATACAGTTTTGTACTTTTCATTTTTATATTGACTTAAAAAAAGTTTACCTAATTAAAATAAATATTTTACTCTGCGGTTTTTACATGCCAACAAATAAACATGCAATCAAAGGTTTTTAGCTAGAATCACTTTCATGTAAATATGCGCCAGGATGCGCACTGTAGAGTTTCACGAAGCTAAAAGTAAATCCATGCATTGACTTTAGAAAAAAGAACGAAAATGAAAAACTTTGTTGCGAAACCCATTTGACCCAGAACCAACATTTTCGTAACAGAAATTGCTGAATTTTGCTTAACGGCACGCTGAACAAACAAAACTTTCACATTTTGTATTTAAATAAAATGGCCAAAACATTTTTAATTTTTATTTGGAAAGTTTTGGACGAGCAACAGACAACAAATATCGACCAGCAAAAAGCAAAAGCTATATTTGCAATGTGTACCACATCAAACATATACAGTGAACATTCATATAAAATTTTCTCTATTTTTTATTTTAATTATAAAATAGTATTAATATGTTTATAAAAGTACAAGAATTTTTGTAATTAAAACAGGAGTTGTATATCAATTCTACAGTCTTAATAGTCCTTGATAATACATTCGCTTTCATTTGAGTTTGCCTTGGCTGTGCTAGCTGCAGTCTTTTATAGTCCTTTTATTTGCCAACAGCGTATATCCTTGATATTATCTTGTCGAGACATAAGTAGTTTTTCACCGAAATCTGAAAATACTCTCTACTGTATTAAGTACACTTTCGCATATCCTTTTAGCCTTACATTCATTTTTCAACTTTCATTTGTTAAAGACAAAAATTACTTCAAACTGTTGCTTTTACGTTTGCACAAACTTTGTATCCTGTTTGCGAAAATTAAAATTGTTTCGCTTTTATTCACATTCATTGACATACTTTTTGTTCCATGTTTTTTACGCTATTATGCGATTATGACAGCTTAACTTTTAAAGTTAAATATTAAAATTTATGCGCATACACTGACGCAGAAATATCCTTTGTTTGTACGGATTTAAAATGAGTTTTATTTTATCTCCACTACTTTTTTTTAAAGTATTTAATCACACAATTAATTATTTGGTACAGAAAGTGAAAGCATCAGAAATTATTAATAAAAGATTAGTTTAAAGTATTCTTTAGTAAATCATACAGAATTAGTTGCACAAAAATTATTTTAAAGAATTTTTACTGTAGTATAAGCCATTTATATTATAATCTTATAAATTATTCATCTCACAAAAAAAAAAAATTTTGTGAAATAAAACAAAAAATATACTAGGGCGGTTTGATAAGTCAGTGATTTTTTGAATAAAACAAATTTTTTTCGGCAAATAAACATTTTATTTTTCTACATAATCACCTTTTAGCTCGATACATTTAATCCAGCGTTCTTCTAATTTTCTTATTCCCTCCAAGTAATAGGTTTTCTCAGAGCTCTCAAAATACGCGTTTTTATCTACAATAACTTCTTCATTCGACTCAAATCTCTTACCGTCCAGCCATTAGTTTAGGTTTGGAAACAGAAAATAGTCGCAGGGGGCTAAATCTGGAGAATATGCTGGATGGGGTAACAGTTCGTATCCCAATTCGTGGATTTTGGCCGGTAATGATTAATCAGCACACGAAATTCACGAGGTGGTCTGCTCATCAACGAAGTAGCTTGCTCAAAATTAGAAAGTTGTCCACTGGTAGATTACAGCTAACGGCAGCACTGTTGCGTTTGAAGTAACTGCGCGGAAAATTCAAAAAGTCACTGACTTATCAAACCGCGCTCGTATTAAAAATTACAATACAAATAAAACACGCTATTTAAATTAAAATTCTATACACAGAATAAAACAAAAAGTAATTGTTTTTAATTTCAGTCCATCTTACAGAAAATTTGTAACATTTTTAGAAATTCTTTAAAAAAAAACTTTTCTACTAACTATATATTTGAAGACATTCAATTCCACGATAAAAGTGATTAACACAACAAACACTTTCAACAACATCTTAATACATTTTTAATATATACTTTCTTCAGGAAAATATTTACCGTTTTACCATATATATAATCTATTCTGCGATAACACTGAATAATACTTCAAATAATAATAGCAACACCCTAAATATATTTTTAGACAAAACCAAAGATCTTACTATTCATAATAAATCGTATTTAATTCTGCGATTAAACTGAATTATATTGCAAAAAAAAAATATTTATTTTTGCTCAGTATTTTCTAAAATATTGTACTAAAATTACAGGGTAGACCAGGTATACCAGGACCTAAAGGTGATTCTGGAGTGAAGGGACAAAAAGGCGAAAATGGTGGTCGAGAAGGCGTAAGTAGAATGATGTTTTAAAATATCTTTAATTAATTTTATTCATTTAGAAAATAAATTTTAAGATTATTCATTTTACTATATTTAAAGAAAAAGTATTAATTAATGAATAATGCAACTAGAACTAAACACACCAGAATATAAACATTCATAAATAATTTGTTGGTATATGACCACTTATTATACCAGGTATATATAACAAAAATGATAAAAGATTTTAAAACTGATATTAAATACAATTAGATATCATTTTTCAGTATTTTGAAGGTTGTGGTATATATGTTGTATATATCATTTACGTATATATGAAAGTAATAATAATAAATATTAGTTCTAGTACTAATGGCATCTTTAATTGGTAAATCTGGGCTAAATTTTTCAATCGAGATACTCTTTTAATGCACTTTTAGACCAATTTTATTTTCGATTGGTAAATCTGGTGCAAAATGTATAACACTCGGGATTTATTTATAACACTCTAAATATTTTATCAGAATAACAAGATTACACTGCTGCTGTTTAATAGTTATTTTTTAGGTTTTGAAAAATGGAGTGTAATTTGATTAGATATATGTATTTATGAAAAATATAACTATCTACTAAAATAATTACAAAAATGTTAGATTACTCCGAAAGTATTCGATTGGACAACAAAATTTGACGGATAGGTAAAGAATTTAAATTGAATCTGGATGTACCAATTGAAAACGCCATAAGAGAGTTTCATTAGCAAAAATTACAAATACAATAAAATAAAATTTAAATTATAATATTATACTAATTCATTAAATAATTGAGCAGTCTTAAGAACAAATTTTATTTATTCATATATTTTATAAGCTAATTAATTAATGTCAAAAATAATAATACTTCAATATAAAATTATAAAATCAATATATAGAATATTTATAAAAATTTAATATATAAAAATAGATATATATAAAATATAATATATATACTTATAAATAAAAATATTTTATTGTTACCAATATTTCAACTATCATCCACATTAAGTTCTCTGCAGATGACTATAGAATATAGTCGAAAAATCGATAAGAATAAAATGTTTTTAAAACTACTTTAAAAATTATTAATTATTTAAAATCGACCAATTAGCCAGTATAAAATATAAAACTTACTTAATTTTAAATTTCACTACTTAATTGCATTATAAGGAACCATTTAACTTAATTAATCTTGAGTATATCTCTTGTTATTTGCTTTAAATCTTTGTTTAAATATTGTTAAGAAGTTTTATCTGAATTACCTATATTTTGGAAACTAATATATTTCATAACTCTTATAACTTTTAAATTTTTAAATATTTGTTAGGGAAATTATTCTTACAACTAACTTTTAAGTTTCGTACAAAACAAAGGAGTTAGCTAGCCTCCTTTAATGCAAGCTACCATTAAATTGCAGTGAATACGCTACAATTTACAATCATTAAGTTCTTAACTTTTATAATTAAAAGGAAAACTTGAACTTAAACTTTTCTAAAAAGGAAAACTACAATAAGAAAAAAACTACTGAAAGCATAAATCAGTACAACATTTTCAAATTTAACGCTTTTATTAACTTAAATGTTGGCTTCACTTGCAGTCGGCGGTGCAGGCTAAAGAAATGGAAAGTCATAAAAGTGAAACGCCTTAAAACCCAAATGTTTTGTATTTATTTTCTTAAAATCTGAAAATCATAGAAATGTAAAAAATTAGCTTAAAAGAATTAAAATTTATATTTCCCCCTTTCATTATTTTTAATGCAAACTTACTCATTAAATATGCATAAAAATGAAATATTTCGCAAGGATTAAAATAAAATCATAATTTTTGGCAGCACTTTTCTTTGTGCGGCTAATATTAAGCAAAGTCACTAGTTTTGCGAGGAGGCAGGCAGCCAGTGAAGTAGGCTTTTGCATAAAACTCATAGTTTCCAGCAACCCAACCTTACACCCAATTAGCACGCCACTTTAGCAGAATGTGCTAAATTAATTCATTTTTATTTTATTTCTATTTTTTTTGTTTGTAATATAAACAGATTTATGCAGCCAGCGGAACCGCAGCGAATAAATTAAATCCTTTACAAACCTTTTATGAAATTTATATGCACTTTTCAAGTGCGGTGGCAATGCCAATGGTGAATGTGGAGTAGCGCAATCTCTCTCGGCACACTGTTTTTTGGCACAGATACCGTCGTTTACTATGTTGGCTAATGCACATTCTGCGGTTAATCCTTCCAAGTGTTTGTTTAAGATACTTGTACTGGTTT